GCAACCCTTCCCAACCCCCAACCAAGACAACCCGTTTCTTTCCCCGAGCGGAGGAGGAGGCACCCAAGGCTTCTGGCCACCCAGTGCCGGAGGCACCCAACGAGGCAACCCGCGCACTGCCCCATCCACTCTTGGCCATGGGTTTCAATCTTACTTCCCCTCAGAATATTGACAGCCTAGTTGCAGCGCTTCGCAAGGAGCCAACCTCTTCGACTACTACGCCGAGCGCAACAACTACGGTAGCTCCAGTCCAGGCGGCGCCCAACTCCTGTCCAGCGCTTGGAAGTGGAGCTCCACCGCCCGGAACTGGAAGCAGTTCAGCAGAGCACTCGCTACCCCCTACGCAAGTGGTCGCTAGCCCGACTGAGGAGCCAAAACCAACAACACCTGCGCCGGCCCTTCCTGTGCAGCCCAACGCGTCGCCTGCTTCCATCGCCAACGACCTTGCAAGGTTGGGCCTTTTGGCTGACTGCCCTGACCAAATCCGCCAACTGATGCAGGCGCTTCAGGGCAAGTTGGATGAGGCCAGCGCTGAGCGTGCCCCTGCACTCCCCGGTCCCCCTACAGGACCTCCACCCGCCCCTGTGCGTGAAGGCCCTGCACCGAGTCCAGTGCCGGAATCTGTGCCTGCCTTGCCTGGGCCGCCCACACCGCCCCCAGCCATGGCTGCCCCACCAGCTACCAGCGTGCCAGCAGCCATTGGTAGAATCAACAGCGCAAGCCACCCTACCGAGTTTGCATCCTTTAAAAGGCTTTGCCTTGGGAATGCGGGGGCCACCGAGTTGAAGGCCGTTTGGGAGCCACTCAGTTGTGTTTTCAAATTTTCAAGTAGTCATGGGATATGTATTCTTCAAGTATCCATGGGGATAGGTGGTATGTACTGAGTCTGCCAGATTCCAGGTCGAGGGTTGTTCTTGTGTATAAGATTTGCTTAGTAAATCCCGCAACCCAATTCACCTCCGCAGTTGTCCCGATGTACTGAGTAAGGAAGGGCGGTGAAGCCCGAATGCAGATGTTTGCCAAGTTCGTCCGGGCTGGCTGTGACACGATTGCAATCGCCTGCAGATTTCAATATAAATAGCCTTCGTCCAAAACCGAACCCTAATCAAGCTTAAAGCCTCAAATCAGAAACCCAAGGCGAGGGGATGGCTCTTGAGGCGGCAATCAGGTTCAAGCGCCAGAATGAGGAGGTTGACACTGACGCAGGTGTCTGGGTCTAAGTGACATTATATTCTCGCCCGCAAGGAATTGTATTTGGGCTACAGGTTTTACCAATTAGTAAATTCTGTAACCCAAATACCATGCCCTGCAGGAGAGTATGTTTCGTGGACGGTTGTCTTGGACAAGTACCATGGCGACTTGGCACAGGCCACAGCCTTTGTGAACCGGCGCCGCCAAGAGCCGCGTGGGACCGTGGCTTCACTGGTTGGTTTGTGATAGCCCCCCCCCAAAATATAGACAGATAGTGCGTATAGCTGCCAAATTCTGCTCCAGGACTTCGCATTGCAGAAACAATCCCTTGGTGGAAACCTTTCTCTGGTTTGACAACCAGCGGAGGGTTGTGACCACGAGAACCATCGCCGCTCGGTCCTTATTTCCAAAGTGCTGAGCTGTATACTTACAGCGATCCAAACTCTTGACGCTTGAGCTTTATGATTTGGATTCTGCGCGCTTCCGGTGTGGATTTAGATTTTTCCAGTGGAGGCCCCGATGGGGGTGACGATTTTGGATGCCTTGAGTTTTATGATTTGGATTTCATGCGCTTCGGAGGTGGGTCAGAAGTTTGCAAAGGCCACTGCTTCCGTATAATCGTAAATGAGTTCTGAATTGCTGAATAACAACCGTGGCAGGGACGTAGCCCATAGCTCTTGGCGATTAGGGTTTAAAGGTAGATAGAGGTTTAGGAGATCTGGATTTATGGGTTTAGGGTTCGTAGGGTACCCTAAACCCTAAATCCTATAACTTAAACTCTAAACCCAGGTTTAGGCCTTCAGTCTTGGATTTTTCCCCTTGGAGACCCAGATGGAAAGACCCCGCAAGACCTTGAATTTTATGATTTGGATTTTATGCGCATTGCTCTTTCATTTTTTTGACTCATGATGTTGCATGATGATGAAGGCTCAGAGTTCGCTGAGTCGCAACACTTTTCTCGGTGCGATGAATATATGGGAGCACTGTGAATTTCAAAGAGTGTTTCATTTATTGCAGCTGATAAACTTGCGCCTAGGACGAAATTGCAATTTCGCTGGGAGTGGACCCAGCTTACGCCGCGAGCATAGCTGAAAACGTGCTCCACAGCAACGTTGCCAGCTCTGCGAACCCTGGGTTGCCATCCTTGCCCCCGCCCCCGAAAAGCGGAGGTGAAGCCCTATCCAGAACTCCCGGCTCTGCAAGCGAGCCTCCTTCGGATGTTGCCAACCCAAAGGGTGATGCCAGGCCGAACAAGAAGGCCCGTGTGCCCAAGCCCGTCGAGACTTGCAGTCTTATAGAATATGGTTTGTGTACGGTTTTAAAGTTGCTCATGTAAGGTATGGCGTACGGGTTTGGCATTGTAGCGTAGCATTTTTCATGTTTTTCAGTCTACCAAGGGATCGGACCTGGAAACCACGATTGAGACTGTGGAAAGCTGCCAAGTGCCGGGGGAGGGCTTGAATAGCTTCGTTCAGACGTGGGCGCAGGCTTCAACAAATGCCCAGGGCCAGTGCACCAAAACGTGCGCTCAGTTCCTTGGTATGCCAATGGCAAGTTGTGAGCATGTGGACAGGCCAACGATGCTTCATATCTCAGGTTGGAGACACTGGAGTCCCAAGAGCAGCTCATGAACCTCATTCAGACCGCCATGGGCGGCATATGTGAGGCCCGCAAGTCGCTTCATGGGCTCGGCAACCAGCCGCAGCCGGGTGATGTGCAGAGGATTCTCCAGAAGGTCGCTCAGATGCGGATATGTGTGCATGGCTTTAAGGTTTAAGGCTCAAGGTTTCAAAGGTTAGGCCTCGGTTTAAGGTTACGACTAATGGGTTACTACTTTATTTTAACTAGTTCAAATGTCTAGGCACAGCCCTTCGTGGAAGCCTTCAAGAAGCATTTGCGCACGGCTACCAGCCTGATTCTACCACGCATTAGAAAGCTGTTCTAAACTTTGCTAAGTGCACTAGCTATATGTGCCTTATTCAAGAAACGCGGGCTAGATGGCAGGATTTCTTCAGAGCGGCGCGAGGCGCAGCCTAAGAAGAAGTCGCGTGGAAAGGCCAAGGCAGCAGCCCCTGGCCCTACTACTGAGTAGGAAATTTTTCGATCCAGGCTGTGGCAGATGATGAGTGGGCTACATTTAATCACACCCATGAAGTGCTTCTCCAACTACCGCAAAAGTCTTCATCTATCTAGCGCGTAGCTGCAGTGCTCACAAGTCTTTGCCGAGTTTTGTCAGCGATAGCTGTTTCGCAGCTGTAGGGGATGAGATTTAACCAACGCGAAGTGGGGAATGCCACATCAGCGAATCATCACGCTGAGTCATGAGCATTCGCAAAAATGGCTTCCCATGCATCAGCAGGCACCATCTCCATGTGTGTGGGACGTTTGTTGTATACAGGGTTTGAAATTTTCTTGTTCTGGCTTGTGAGAGTATGTGGCGTAAAATGTTTTGAGTCACGAGACGCAAGCAACACCAGTACGTGGCCTGCCTTGGGTCTCACACCTGAGTCCGGAGATCATGATTTGATTTGGCAGCTGTCGCTCATTCATGTGAGCTCCCAAGATATCAAAGTTGGCCAGACGTTGTGCATTTTGACAAACCCAACCCTGAATATATGGAATTTCTAATGCCCCCTGACGTCTATGAACTTATGAACCCTAAACCCTAAACCTTATAAACCCTAGACCGCGCAATTGGCAATGATAGTATGTGTCCAGGACGTGGGAGTAGTAAATAGCATGCTTCTCACCATGGTCGTTCATGTGGAAGCGCGTGAAGCGCACCCGCGAGCGGTTGGAAGCTGTCGCTCAAGACCGGCTGGCACAGAACGCAACTCCTCGACAGACCAGTGACAATCCAAGTAACCCAAGCTCATCATCTTCGCGGCCGTCCAGCGCCGATTTCTCACTTCGAAGCCCGCTCACATGTGAGCTGTCCTTGCGAATTGGGCAAGGCCAGCCAGCAGGTCTTCTTCAGCAGGTGTCACAGGCGGCTATCCAGGAGTTTGGTGAACGTCATGCATCCAAGAGCCTTCTGACTTCTATGCATGTTTTACTTTTTGCTGCGTCCGTATACACATGTTGATTTCTGAGCTGATTGCTATTTTTTTATTACGAGCTCTTGCTGCTTGAGGCACGGCTTGGGCATCACGTTTGGGTAACTCCGGAAAGCGATCAGGACATATTGAGAATGCTTTACACAAAGCTGCGTTGAAGTTGACAAATGTCCCGGTCCGCTGCCCGGTCTCACCAGTCAGCATTCTGGTCAAAGACAGGAAGAATGAGAAGATCCGCCTTCAGGCAATGGCACGCATGCGATCCTTTAGAACTCGCCGAGCTGCGTCGGCCAGACCGTCACCAAAGCCGAAGGCAAAAGCCAAGCCCAAGAAAAAAAGCAAAAGCAAAGCGACTCCATCAGCACCTCTTCGTGAACTGTGGCCAGTTTTCTTGCCGCACATGCTGTTCCAAAGCATTTTCGCCGCGGGCTTGATCAAGAATTTGAAGCTACACGACGACAGCAATTTTTCAGTCGGTAACCCTGAAAGAAAACAATAAATCCCAAATACCTACTTTACAATGCTCCGAATCTTTGAATTTAATAAGGAGTGGAGATCTGTGCTGGGAAAGTTTCTGGGAGCATGCGCGTGGTGAAGAGTGGGGCGCGAGCCTTTGTCCTCAATGTTACATTTTTCTGTGACATACTCCCTAACCCTTTGTAGCCATTATATTGAAGCCACCATTGTAATCCTGACTTTGGTTTGCTCCGCCCGCCATTAAGGAACCACCCCGTCCAGGCTTGGCCTAGGGAGGCTAGGGCCAAAGCGATAGCAATATCGCTCCACGGTGACGAAGGAACGGGCAAACGCAACAAGAGTATCATGATACTGTCCTGGAGCCCTCTTGCTGTTCACGATGTCTCCATGCTCACAAAGTACCCGTACGCAGCACTTTGCCTGTGAAAGTCGGTTTTCTCTTTTTGTGTGTCCCAGCGGGCCCCTATAAGCACTTAACCTTCAACTTAACATCAAGCCCTCTACAAACCTAAAGCTTCACCTTATTGAGACAAAATCCAAAGCAAAGGTGATCAAGAGCGAATTCTTCCACTATTCGTCGTGCGGAAATCGCAACATCACTCTGCAGAATCTCCAAGAGCATCTGGCATCCTCTTTGAACAAGGCCAACAAGCCAGGGCAAGTCTCCACAGATGGGTGGAGCATCCACCTTGTGCTTGGGAAGGGCGACTGGAAATTCAAACGTGAGTGGCTGGAGCAATCGAGGCATTACAGTCTGGGAGACAAGATCTGCCCGCGTTGCTACGCTTCAGCTCTGGACGGCTCCGCAAAGCCATGGTTGGACGTCGAAGAGGCGTTCAACACTCTTGCTGACATCGAGAGTGCGAAAGACACACGAGTTGGACAGGAGATATGGCACCTTGCCTTCACATGGAAAATCTTGATCCTAAAATCTGATTCTACCTATACAGCCCGGGCTAACCTTTATTTATACTTGTTCCTGCCCATAATACCGAATTCCCATACTAAGCCGATCGATCATTCCCACCCCTAAACACTAAACCAACTAAACCAACACATTTTCCCATAATCAATGAATTCGCGCACAGACCGCAACTCTGAATCACAAATCCCCACCTCCCAACCTGCGTAAGTCAAGGTTACGGACAGTGGATGGGTGGAGCCCTGCGTGCGAAACGGCTGATCTTCTGCACTCCCTCTGGTTGGGGACTGCGCGCGACTGCGTAGGAAGCATGCTTCTAGACTTGGCAGAGTACTGGGCCCGATGCAATATATTCACAACGTGGGATGAAAGGCTACAAGTCATCTTGCATGATTTCCAGGAGTGGTGCCGTAAAGTCGGCGCGAGACCTTCAACTGTGGAGGAGATGAGCAACCCGGAAGGACATAGTGAACGTTGTTATTTGTTTTTTAATTCCGCTGTGTGATCCTCCCAATAACACAATCGCGGATACCTAGTACTAAATAACCTTCTCATTGGGTTGCAGAAGCCACTCACTATATAGGTCTCCTGAAACTGTCGGTATCTGCGATCTCACTGGACTATCCACTGGGCTACTCGAAGGCCTACGCGAACAAACTCCTGTAGCTCGGGTGGTCATCAGCAGGTGTTGATGAGAATTGGTAAGTGTATTGCCATAAACCCCAAACCCCAAACCCATAGTTACTCATCGAAAGGTTTATCTGTAAAGCCCTGGGTAGGATGTGCTACCTGGCAGAACGCCTTTGCGTCCCTGGACAGTTTTGATAAAAGATTATGTATAGGTTCACGTTGATTTGGTTTGGGGTTAGGGGTTTAGGGGTTTAGGGCTTTGGGATCCAGAGGTTTATGGGGCTTAAGGGTTTAAGGCTTGCTGTAGGGTTTTGGGAACGCATAACCTTGCTCGACCCAGGAACTTGACATACCCGAGCTGCGAGTGCACGCAACGTGCGCATGGGCTGTGAGCCATTTCTCCAGCATACTTGACCAGGCAGGCATGTGGCTGACGAATGCGGAGGCTACATCCGCAGCTCAGAATCGTGGCTTCCTATATGCTCCACATGTTTAGGGTTTAGGGTTCCGGGGTTTGGAGCTTAAGTGTTTAGGGTTTAGGGTGCAGGGTTTGGGGCTTAGGTGTTTAGGTTTTTGGGTTTAGGGTTCAGGGTTTGGGGCTTAAGTGTTTAGGGTTTAGGGTTCAGGGTTTGGGCAACGAACTCTTTTTGTACAAATAGAAACACAAGTCTTTTGATCGAGGAACCGTTTTGTAAACCTACGCCTCCAGTCCTTGAATCTTGTTACCCTAACCAACCTTAAGCCCTCAAACCTGAATCAACTAAGGGCCGGGAGGCTGTACGTCTCCTCTTACATTTTGCTGGCGCAGCATGCTCTATCTGAGCTTCGCCCAAGATTCAAGTGCCGGCCAAAACTTCATCAATTCCACTGCGAGTTGATTTGTCGTTTGGATTCCTCGACCCGATTGAACTTGAGATGGTCTTCCTGCTTTACAGAGGAAGACTTTGTGGGGCAGCTGACCAAAGTAATCCGTGGAGCCGTTCATGCCAAGACCCTGGGTTTGCGAACCCTCCAGCGTTGGCTACTGCAGTACAACGCACACATGTCGAAGCAGCAGATCGCATGAGCAAAAATCCGTGACGATTTGTGTGGGAAATGCGGTGGATGGGGAGAATTTTTCACCTCCTTATACACGCTATGTATTTATATACCCCCAATTCAACATTGTATAACTACATAAGTATATAAGTGGTGCAGGATTCTCACCATCCACCCAAGATACGCACCTCATCATGTGTACTCATGTTGATACATTCTCCCAAAAAGAGTCGCTGCATGTTGATGCCGGCAGTGAGAGACGTACAAACCAAAACCATCCTACATAACAAAGTCCTATGTAGTGCCCCTGGGAAGATTAAGCGAGTAGTCCCCAAATACGTTTAGGGTTTAGGGCATATATAGGGCTTAGGGTCCGTAGTGAAGGGTACCAAACTGCATGGGAGCGGTACCTTGGAGATCGCAGGGGATTGTATACATCCCATACACAGGCCCTCTTCTATTTTCTCAATATGGTACACCCACTACAAAACTTTACCCTTCAACCCAACAATCAGCTGTTGCGCTGCCTGTGCAAGCAACTCGGTTTCGTGGCTTAGGGCTTAGGGGCTTACTAGGGTTTAGTCAGGGTAGCTCCCCCCGCTCACTAACACTCAATGGGAATCGTACCGGTCGACATAGAATACACCTATTATATGTATATAACACCCCTTAAATTCTATAATTATGAGTGTCAATGTGCGGGAGGGAGTATGTATTCAGTATGAGTTGGAAAGTTGAGACGCACTTCCGGGCGTCGCTGAGCTGTTGTTGGGTTTAGGGCTTTAGGGTTTGCTTTGGTTCAAGATTCCGCAGTCAGCTGCCACAGCACTATGCCAGAAACGATAAAGTGAACATAGTCCCCCTATATTGCCCCTATATGACTGTTAGAAGGGTAAGGTATAGTCCCCAACAAGAATTCTAAGCTGGATGCTTGCAGGTGTCAAGCAGCGTTTTCCGGTTAGGGTTTACTTCAACTACAGCACCCCCATCAACATTCAAACCGAATTATGTTGGTCTCCATATATAATCTACTTGTACGCACAACCCCCCAAGAGACTGTTGTGGGAAGGGGATACCCGAAGTATGCGGTTGGAAAAGCTTAGGGTTCAAGTTTGAAAGCTATAGGTTTTTGGTCAAAGGGGCCTTGGGGTGCGCGGTTGCCCTCGCAGGAAGCAGTGTAGTTTTGGACAAACTTCTGACCCAAGAAGCCATTTATGCCTATAGGTGGGGCGCCCAATATTTGACTAATACTACTCCTATAAATCAGCGGCCGCGCTGAGGATCAAGAGTTCTGGGACCATGGTTTTGTAGACTTTAACTAGGGTTGACAACTTAGGTGCGAATATATTTAGCTCAAGGTTCATGCGCTTGGGCTTGGATTATAGGGATCCTCGTGATTCAAGGATGCAACATACAGGGCCATTCATTCCTTCAACTTAGATTTCCTCGGGCCAATTCAAGGTTTTACGAGTGAAGGCTGATACTAAGAATCCTGCAGGACACTATGTAGAGGTTATGCATGTACTTGCCACGGAGAATATGGTGTTCCAACCCACAAATTAAAGTCCTCGGAGAATTTTTAGTATCAGCAGCATTGGGTTGGACGATTGCCCGAATGAAGTCATCCCTACACTGGCACAATAAACCTGAACCCAACGCCTTGTCCCTAACCCCAGATCCCAAAATAGGTGCGAAGAGGACACGGAGCCTTGCGTTGAAACCCGTAACGTAATTAATATGTAGGGGTTGCTATCTCACAAGCTTGAAGTCCGAACCCTAAACATTAAGAACACGTGCATGTGGGGAATGAAAACGCCAGCCTTTGATGATGGCCCCTGTATAATAGCGTCAGGTTTGGGGTTCTTGTGCCAGGGTTTAGGTTTAGGGTTTAGGGTCTAGGCTTAGGGTCTAGGGTCGCGGCTATATATAGGGTTGAATGTTGAGGGCTTAGGGTTTAAACAGTTTGAAGAAGCTGGGAATGCACTCGGGTTAATTAGGATACTTACTAAATATATATAGGACCAGACTCAGGAGGCAGTCAATTCACATCGGTCTTCTTTGACAGCAGCAAGATGAAGCTATCATCCACAGCACATGTTCCCAGGAGCCCCATTCTGTCGATGCATGGTTGCGAACAATCTGGCCTCAGGAGGCATGAAGCAACGTTTTATGCGGTGTACGCACGCGGTAACGCGCGGTTGGTCATGAAACGGCATTTTTTCTTCCTTTCGTTGAAACCTGAAGGTTTTCAAAAGCTGAAGCATGCCGTGTTCAGTTTTTTATATAGCCGGTCATGCTTTCGAAACAGTTTTCAATAAACATACATGAACATGGCCATCTTATACTAACCCTAAACCCTAAAGCCTAAACCCTAAACCCTAAATTTGGCTCAAGGCTTCACACCGAACCAGTGCCTCAATGAGGCCCTCACGCAACAAGAGCCCGAAAGCACGAAAAACCGCGTAACCTAGTCCACTGTGCTTTCAAAAAAGAGTGCCCGGCACCTTTTTCCCCAAAGCGCGGGCCTGCAGGCAGTGCTCTGCGAATATTGTTCGCCCTCGCAACAACCAGAAAGGCACCGGACCTGGATGGAAAGATGCGCGACTTGCCCAAGGACCAATGCCTGGTCTTCTTGGACGTTAAGAAGGCGCATTTCTGGGCCGAGGCGCGTCGACGTTTGCTCATCGAGCTTCCCCCTGAAGCTGGCGT